ACCACCACCACAACCGCAACCGCAACCGCAACCATAACCGCATACGGTGCAGCAGCAGCAGTAGCAGCAGCAGCAGCAGCAGCAGCAGCAGCAGCAGCAGCAGCAGCAGCAGCAGCAGCAGCAGCAGCAGCAGCAGCAGCAGCAGCAGCAGCAGCAGCAGCCACAAGGACAACGTCAACAACTTCCAAGGACAACGACAAGCAACAAACGACAAGCACAACAGCAACGAGAACCACAATCCCTGAGGGTCCATGTACCCAAATAGTATATACATTGGCCCCAAAGTACTTATATAGGGACTACTTTAAGGCCAAAGTATATCTATTTGGGCACATGGACCCTTAGGGCAATAGCAACAACAACACCCAAGCTCTGACCTGGGGGTTTCTGAAGACAGGGGGCCCTAATATAGTACCCTAAATAATAGGATCCTTAATATAAAGACCCCAAAATAAGGTACCCCTAATTTTCGGAAACTCTTACCCAGTGCGGGACCGGCCGAGGCGGATACGCGTAGCGATAATATCAATGGTTGGCCTTACATCCCCCTTAAGAGGGTTTAGGGTCTTTGGGGCCCTGCACCCTAACCCCTGTACCCTACACCCTAAGGTCGCAGCCCTAAACCCTAAACCCTACCCTAAGACACTAAGGTCGCAGCATCCAGAAGTGGGAGTGCATGACGGCGCTGCGTCCAGGACCTCCATTGTCCACGGTCTGGAGATGTTGCAGAACCTCCTCTCCTGGGTTCATGGGGTATAGGGCTTAGGGTTTAGGGTTTAAGGGTTTAGGGTTTAGGGTTTAAGACTATATATGGGGTCTGTTGGGCTTGGGGTATATATGCAATAAGGTCCATAGGGTTGAGATGGGTTGAGGTTTACAGGGTAAAAGGTACAGGATTTATGTGGCGTAAAGGGCTTACAGGGTTTAGGGCCTTAGGGTTTCGGTTTGAGGGCTGTTGGAATTTGGCAGAAATATAGAAGGAGAGAGTTTAGGGCTCGTAAGATTCATGAGTTTAAACCGATTTAAGGTTTTGGGCTTGCGGCTGCATGTTAAGGTTCGTGAATATATATACATATGTATGATAAATGTATATATGCTTACTCACTTATTTATTTATCTATTTATGTATTCATCTGTTTAGTCGTTTCTCCAAACAAACTCCGATACAGTAATTTAAAGGAGGTTTCTGAACAAGAGCCCAGGCTCCGGCAAAGGGCGCATCGGAGAGCCAGTCGACTGCCTCCTCTTTCTGGGTTTTCGGAACAGCACGAGCACGACCCTTTCCTGGGTTCGGGTTTTGGAACTTAGGGGCTTCGCACCGCTTCAGAGTTTAAGGTTGAGGGTTTAGGGTTTAGGGTTTATTTTAAAAAGGGCACGATATTTTCGCAACTGCTTCGGGCGGCCCCCACCATCTTCATTCAATGTACCACTCACTCCCTATACTGGGGATTTAGATGCACAGAATGCTTGTCCTTGTTACTGTACATGAAGTAGATTAAGAATTCCTCGAAATCTGACCGAACAATCAACTACGACGCCGGCTGTGGCAACCTAAAGAAAGCTCCTGAACAAGAACGCCAAGTTTCCTTACTTCCCCAATAAGCCAGGGAAATACAAGGTTAAACTTTCAGATTACTACTAAATTATAAGAACCTGAGAAGTTTGAAGGTTGCATATTGGGGAACTAAGTATAAGAACGCCCCAAGAAAGAGCCCTTTAAAAGAGACCAGGCCCGCGAAACCCTGTAAACCCAAAAAGTTTAAAGGTTGGGTATTGGGGAACTAAGTCTGCGAACCCCTAAACCCTAAACCTTAAACCCTAAACCAGCCAAGATTCTTTGGCTTACACCAGCTCCCGTAGGCAAAGTCCGCATGTTCGGATCGACTGTCGTAGGCTGTGTCTTCGGGATCTCGTCCTTTTCCTTAGGTGCCGAGCTCATAAAAACACAATCGAGCACTCAAAACACAGAAAACAAATTCGCCTCGACCCCCGGCCGAAGCGGTCAGAGGTTCCTACTCGGATTCCCTCTATTCCGCGAAGGTCCTGCGGTGAAATTTGCGCCTCGTCCCATGGATTTGGGGCCTCTGTAGGGAGTCCCACCCACCGCCAACGCCTCCCACCCACGGCTGCCCTCCTTGGGAGGGGGCCCCCCCCCACCCTTCCTACGTCTCCCCTGTTCGGCTCCTTCTGTCCCCGGCCTTCCCGGTTAGCCTCCGCTTCCAGAGACCTCATTCCAGGTTTGTGATTTAGGGGTTTCTATACTGAACTTAGACCCCTAGCAAAAATTATAATTTTAGCTGCTTCTTAGGGTTTATAGTAGCCAAAGATTAAAAAATTATTTCTAAGTACCCCTAAAGTTTAGGGTTGGGAGTTTCGGCTTCCGCTTCTCTCGCTTGATACTGCATGGACGGTTGCGGCGCCTCGATCCAGCATGTTTCTTCAGGTTCGGGTGCGCTGCGTTGCAGATCGTATGTCTCGGGTCTGTCAGAAGTGAGGCTTCGGATGAGGGCTGAAGCTGCACTCCTATCCCCATGCAGTCCCACATGAATATACTATCAAAATACCACGAAACCAAATCTACTGCTCGCCATCTCCAGACTGCTTGAACAGCTTGACTGCTCAGGTTGCCGTTCCATGTACACAGGAGTACAACAGCACAAACCTGGCATCATATCTTCCTACCAACATACGGCCGGGCCGAGGCGGACGACGCGAAGCGTTTAAATCAAGGTATACTTTTAAACTCTAAACCCCTACACCCCTAACCCCCAACCCCCGCCAAAACCCCTAAACCCAAAATCCCATAAACCCTAAACCCCGAAACCCCCTAAACCCCCGTAAAGTCTACTAGCTTAACTACCAGGTGTCTCCCCAAACCCTAAACCCCCATAAAGCCTACTGACTTAACCTAAACCCTAAACCCTAAACCCTAAACCCTAAACCCTAAACCCTAAACCCGTTTTTCCCTAAACCGAAACCCCCTAAAGCCCCATAAAGTCTACTGGCTTAACCTAAACCCTAAACCCTAAACCCCGAAACCCCCTAAACAGCCAGAAAGTCTACTAACTTAACCTAAACCCTAAACCCTAAACCATAAAACTTAACTACCAGGTGTCTCCCTAAACCCTAAAACTTCACTACCAGGTGTCTCCCAGCGCGTAAGGAAGAGCGAAGGCCGGAGGCTGAAAGTAACGGCCAGCTCCGTCACCCTCGAAATGCTCCTGAAGAAAACTGTCGGCTCAGGGTTTAGGGTTTAGGGTTTAGGGTGTCGGCTCAGGGTTTACCTGTGACCCCAAACCCGGCAAAAATAGTAGGTTATGACCGCTTAATTGGAAGGTAAAACCCTCAAAACGGTAGGGTTTCGGATTCCCAGGCAGGGTTCAGGGTTTAAGGGTTAGGATAAACTGGTCGGGAAAGGGTTTAGGGTTTAAGGTTTAATTTAAGGGTTTCGGGTTTTTAGGTTTTTGGGGTTTCGGGTTCAGGGTTTAGGGTTTATGTAGGGTTTGGGGTTTAAGGGTTTCGGGTTTAAGGTTTTTGGGGTTTCGGGTTCCGGGTGTAGAGGGGTGTTTAGGGTTTAAGCTGGTAATGTACTTGGAGGATCATAGGCCTTAGTAAGTAAGGTTCTAAGAATCCCAACTGGAGATACATGTAACTATGAGTATAGCTACCTTGCTCATGATCCTCGTTTCTCTGTCCCATGAACCTTAAGGTGGGGTGGGGGTTGAGTGTTTAGAACTCAGCATTTAGGGTTTAGGGTTTTAGGGATTCTCAAGAGTTCGAACTGGGTGGATACAGGGGCATGCTCGTTATCACTAGCATCCCCATAACAAGACCCGTATATACACTCGCCGAGTCACCAAAACGGGAGAATACACCCTACTTTAATTAGTTAACATGACGAGGAAGCCTGAGGAATAGTATTGCTAATTGTTCGGGCCCCTGCATTGCAAGTTGGCTCGCTATTGGATTTTAGGGTTTCGGGTTCAGGGTTTAGTTTGGGGCTAGGGCTGAGAACCGTTAGGGTTAGGGCTAGGGCTTAGGGGTACGAGTTCGGGCACGGGGTTTATGTAGGCGCGAGCGAAACGCTTTACTGCAGTATAGCCTAATCCCAATTCATCCTGACCCCTCAGTTCCAACTCAAAAGACCCTAAAGCCTAAAACCCCAAAACCCTAAACTCTAAAACCCTAAACCCTAAAACCCTCAACCCTAAAACCCTATAGAAACCCGAAACCCTAAAACCCTAAACCCTAAACCCTAAACCCTCAAAGCCCTAAACCCTAAAACCCTATAAACCCTGAAACCCTAAAACCCTAAACCCTAAACCCTCAAAGCCCTAAACCCACTCCTGGGAGCGCAGCCTAAACCCTAAAATCTAATCCCTAAGCCCTAAAACCCATAGGCCCCATAGTAGTTCCTTTTTGGGATTACCTTATAGGATTCTAAATATGAACCCCAAAAAGGACCTAAGCCCTAAACCCACTCCTGGGAGCGCATCGCTTCTTCAACATCTTTCAGGCTCGGCACCGGTGGACGCACTGCTTGGGTCAGAATCCTCGGTGAGCTTGGGCGATGTTGATTTAGGGGTTTAGGGTTTAGGGGTTTAGGGTTTAGGGGTTTAGGGTTTAGGGTTTAGGGTTTAGGGGTTTAGGGTTTAGGGTTTAGGAAATTAGGGTTTAGGGGTTAGGGTTTTGAGGGCCTCTTGCTACCATGGGCTTCTGCTGGGGCTCCGTACAGCCGGGGTTCACTCTAAGTTACCGCATTTTAACGGGCGCCCTTGACTATAGGGATTCGGCTCATATGGGCTCCGGATTCCGGCTCCCACTGTTGGGGCTTACTCATAATTGACTCAAAAACTGCTTGAAAGTAAACCCAATCGAATCAAATCAACTCTAGTCTAATGAAATCTATCCCTCCTGTTACTTTGGCCACTGAAAACCAACTCCTCAACAGAACCCTGAACCCTAACCTAAACCCTAAACCCTAAACCCTAAACCCTAAACCCTAAACCCAAGCTCAGGATCTTCACTCTGGCCGAGCGCTGGGCGATGGAGCCGTGCATGGCCAGCCACACGCTTACCATCCCGAAGAAGATGCAGGCAAAGACACCTGGGTTTGGGGTGTAGGGCTTAGGATTCTTCTTCTGCTTACTTCCCCAACAAGTAAGGGGAATACAAGGTTAAACTTTTAGGTAGCTACTAAATCATAAGAGCCCAAGAAGTGGAAAGGTTGGGTGTTGGGGAACTAAATTTAGGGTGTAGGGATTAGGATTCGTCTTCTTTGGAGCTGCTTATGGGCTTTGTAACGGGATGGATCACGGCAGTTTGTCGAACCGTCTGCGGGGTTTTGGCAGGTTTTCGAGGACAAGGACACCTGCATTCTTGCCGAGGGGTTTTATTTGGGGTTTGCCTCATGCGGGGCCTTAGAAGGAATCATGCAGCTCTATACGACCTCATAGACCCAAACTCCCAAAACACTATGCAGATAAATCGTATCCGATTCTTGGCATGGCAACTTAAGTAAAGTTCTTGAACCAGAACCCAGATGCAGTTATTCCACAGCAGGAGAAGCCAACGAGGTTCCAGGGGGAATTCTGGATAGCCCACGAAGATAAAGTTCATCACTGCCGTCACGATAAGCGCTCCCACCAAGATGTAGTTGTCCATATTCCTGGGCTGGTCTTGGAGGCACTCTGCAAAAGTTGATAAGTGTTCCTGTTTCTTATTCCCTTATAATAAACCAAGGGAAATACAAGGTAAAACTTTCAGATTTAGTACTACAAAATTATAAGAACCCAAAAAGTTTAAAGGTTGAGTAT